AATTTGATGCGAGGACTTTTGCTGCATAATCTCCTAGGATATCACATTAAATAGCAATTGACATTTCAAAGTGTTTTTCACCATTTCACCAATTGCATTTTTTGTTTGTAAATTTTCTTTAAATTCACATTGACACGACTAATTGTTTCGTTTTATTTATTTATTCGAAAATATTATTTTTCCAATTATACATTTACAGATATCTTTGTAAATTTATGTATGATTTCGTTTGTTAACCACAAATAATACAACAACAAGAAACAACAAAAAAACCCCTATCCATGTCCAGAAAAGTCCTGTCCTGTTATAGCAAAACAAAAGGGAAATAACAAAACCAACAACAAAAACAATGCCCAAAAAACAATTTACAACAACAATTTTCAATTATTTCAATTAAACAATATACCAAATAAAGCAAAATATATTGCTTTTATAGAGTGGAATTTAGTACTTCATAAATCTACATATTCGTGTGTGTGTATATGTATAAAATACAAGCAAAGATACAGCACACACTACATGTATACAAACCTATACTTATTAATATACACACAAACGTACACAAATATATACATGAGAAGCAGCAATAATAACCTGCAAAAAAAAAAAGAAATATGAAACAAGACAACACCACCAACAACAGCAGAAATTATTGCTCAGGTTTGTTTTTAGGTAAATAAAACAAACCAAATTAAAAAATGAATATTTAATGATTGCAAAACTTCAGCAACACTTGTACATTCATTCAACAAACAATAACACACACACACATATTTACACAAACACTTTTTTCCAACTGTACATACAAACAGAATTACTTTTATATAATTTTGTTGGGATAACAAAAAAAAAAAAAAAAAAAAACAAGCGATCCGCCTACTGCTACAACTACTACTGCGAAACAAAGCTCTTTAAGTGAGTGCCTTGGTAGTGTGGGATCATGCTGCACATATTTACATACACACAAATATACAAATGTTAATAATGCAAAATAATAATAATAATAATGTTGGGGGAAATGTATAAATAAAAAATTCCTCTTCTCTTTTGTATACATCGACAAGGTTTACAATTACACCTACACCAATTTTAAAGTAAAACAAAGTTTTAAACTAAACTAATACATACACAATTATACAAAATAGTGTAGTGTCTTTTTTGGAAAATTTAAAACAGGATACGAATTAAGATATATTACGATACCACACTTATGAGACATGAATATGCTGGAAAGTGAATCAATTACAGTGAGAAAACAACCAACCCAATTTAGTTTTACATTTGAGAAGTTTATCAAAAATCTTCTATAACTTTGCAACATCAAAAATAGTAGTTCAATTGAAATTTCACATTTTCCAATATGAAATAAACTTTATACATTTGAATACATTCGTAATGCCTTCTAATACTGAAACTATTATATTCTATACCCAACGTCAGCCAGTGTTGGCTTAAAATCGTGAACCAAGCAGGATTCCTCATAAAATGATACTACACCATAGATGCACAAAATACAACTCGCGCTTGTGTGTGTGTGAGAAACACGTATAAAATAATTCTCTTCTTGTTTTTGGAGTTTTGTAACAAGAAACTTGCTTTATTTTAATAAAATTATTAAAAACATTAAATATAATACCAACATATTCATATTTTTCCTATAAAAGCTATCTATGAGTTGCTTTCTTAATGTTAACTGAACAAAAATGCGTGCGTCCCCCGCCCATTTTTGCATTTGTTGAGATCTCATCAACGTCTGAGATCACCGCAAACGTACTGCTTTGTGCATCTATGTACTACACCATGTAATTTTATACACCAGTTCCTAAACGTATGAGTGATTTCATAAATTTCATATATTTAAAATCGCTCATACGCAGAGTCTTCACACAAACCACCGAAGCGTACGGAATTAGTTAGATTGACACAAAATCGGTCAGGAAAATGAAAATTCTTTCAAATACTAGTCCGCATAAAGTAAGAAACAGACAGTGACTCGTTTCGGGTACATCGGCTTTTTAATGTATGCGTGCGGGGTTTCAGTGCCCCAAATGCGACAATTTAGCTGGTTTACATACTGGCGGTGCTTTTCTTCTTCAAAATTCGTACCAAATTTTTACAAAAATTCTGCAACATTTTCATGATTTTCAAAATAATTTCGCAATATTTCCCAGCATTGACCAAACGTATTCACAGCCATATTCATTCAGCGGAAGGATAAAATTAATCATACTTCAAATCAGGCATAATGGTTCAGAAGCGATTTTACTGGTCAATTTGTTTTTTTACGGATTTCATAATTAATATACCTTAAGTCCCACATTTTACTAGACAAAATTTTGTAACTTTTGGGCGGATAGACATATTTACATAATGGGACAAATAACTTCTAATGTTTTCCTTACAATTTATATTATATTGTTCAGGTATCTAAGCTGAACAATGAGAGTTTTAATTGTTTTTATTATATCCCCAGTCGTATATTTTCACTCGAAAATGTCTGTCTCTCGAATTGAGTATCCGATTTGGTCCAAACTTCATACATAGTAATATGTTAAGCAAATTTAGATATAGTTCAGAATCCACTCCTTCCGGTTCCTCTTATATTTACGACCCATCAGGGTTTAATGGAATTCTTGTTTTTTACACAAGGGCTATGGTACATTTCAACCTCTAAATATTTTCCAATAACCACCTAAATTGGTAGATTTCTACCCTGTTCAAAACTATTATCCCATTCAAAATTCGATTGTCGATTGATCCACAATTGTGATCTGTTGAGCTACTTCGAAATGGTTTTCAGGCTTCTATTCTATACCCTAACCCTAAATTCTTGCAAAATTTCCTGAAGATCGGGCCAAAATTGCGATTGCGTTTGGACTGACACGCTTAGCTAGATCGACTCAGTTTGGCGAAATAGGAATATAATATGACAAGAACGAGGCGTTATAAACATGTTTTGCCCAATCAAACATATAAAACGCACAACCCTTATAATACCTACAAAACAAACTGTTTTTAAGGGATAAAGAGTATTAAAAACAAAACCCGGACATTTACATAAGGTTCAATGCATTTACTATCGAATTTTTTAAAGGAATTTTAAATTGGTGATTTCAAAAAATTTGAAATTTGACCATGCATATATAATTCGGAACTAGCAACGGTGCCACGAAGAAAACTGGATTTGGTCGAAAAAGAGCGGGCCAAACGCTTGTGGTCGAACGTGAATTTTTAGCTTACAATTTTTTTTGGTCGTATGGGGTATCATACATTGTGAAATATTTCTGAAGAAATGTACAGTATATAACAAGTAACAAAGCTATAAGTTCGGCAGGGCCAAACTTTGAATACCCACTACCACTTGGAACGAATTTGACAATTTTCAATTTTTTTTGCTAATACCGAATGTAGCCGTTATATTAGGGCCTATACGACCTGCATCATCAAAATACCAAATATGTACTATTATTAGACGTTTATCCCAAAACGTGGACCTTTTCAATTTTCTGTCATAGGCTGTACTATCCATTATCAACTTCAAATACCAAATTTGAAGCAATTCTAATGAATCATAAAAATACCAAATATTGTGAGGTACCTTTATATCTGGCCCATTCTGTTAAGGTTGTAATACCCATTACGAATATCAAATACCAAATTTGAAGCAATTCCGGTGCATAATGTCGCTAAAATTATCAAAATACCGAATATCGGAAGGTACCGCCATAAGGGGGCTATACTAAAATGTAGACCTACATGGCCCATTTTCAATACCAAAAGTCCTGCAGACATTTCCTTTCGGAAGCAAGAGTGATTTCCACAGAGGGACGGACATCGCTAAATCTTGCTCCAGACTGAAAATCGAATAGATGCATTTCTGGATCATTGTTATCAGGCCGAAATTATGGTTTGGTGAGGCACTATAGCTTTCTCGAAACCGATTTTAGCCATAATTTTGAAGGTTTTATTTAAAGCTGAAGTTAGATATATGATCCAACATTCATCTTTATCGGGTAAACGTAGAGGTGTTAATTCGTCCTTTATATAAAATCGAGGGGAATAGTTAATGGAAGATACACAAAGACCAGATAAGGGAAAAGGATAATTTGATATATATTTTTTTTTACAACGTAAGCCTTTTTTGATACCATAACTTTTTACTTAACGTGCTTCAACCAGAGACTCAAGAATGAACATCTAAGAGAGAAGTAAGCAGATAAAGCTATTATCATCCAATCGTATTTATAGAGTCCTTAAACTAAAACTTCTTTGTATAAATGTTTTTTTTTATAGAAAGTTATTCTTGTAAAATCTGTGGAATTTTTAAATTCTATATTTAAATGGGTTAATTTCACTGTATGGAAAATGTTAAAATTTTGAAAATTACCAAATTTATTTTTAATATTGAAATAGTATTAATACAACAAATAAAATTTTATTTTTGCAAAAATTAAAAAAAAAATCTCGCTGTAATTGATTACTTCCGCTAAATCTGTCTCCACAATACGTTTTAGGGTTATTTGATGTGTTACACTTGGAAACAGGATTCCAAATATGTATACGTGTTTTGCGAGCATGTAAACTCGATCTACCTAACACATGTGCTCCAATTGAAGATATGAAATTAACATTAATTTTATTTCCCCAAACCAACCACAAACTATTTAAAACTAAACCTGGCAATTACCTTAGGTATACCTCCTGAGTGACCTCTCACCCAAAACAAATGCCAAAATTTTCTTTACCTTTCCGAACTTTCAGAACTCTTTAGAAATTTTATATGTTGTATTATTGTTATTTGGTTTTAATTTTTATAAAAATGATGAAAAAACACACAAGTTAATGGAATTTAAACCTCACCTAAGACATATATAAGTAAAGTGCAAACAGAAATTTAATAAAAGTAAATTTTACAAAATCTTTTTCTTGGGTATAAAAACAAACCAAAACACGCCCCCTTCTCATCAACAAAACAAAATCGTAACAAAATACCAACAAAGGTGGACTATCAACAAGGCTTTGAAAGTATAACAACAACAGCTGAGGTTACAACACCCCTAACAGAGGCTAACGCGACAACAATAACAACAACTGGTGGACAGACCACAGAAATACCAACAACCATTCGTGGCTCTTCAACGGTCATAGGTAAAAAACAAAACCAAGAAACATCGCTTAGTCTGAAGACAACAGCAAGTAATGGTTTAGAGGAAAACCCCAAACGTAGTATTGCCAAGAAAAGTTTAAAGCAAATCAAAGAAACTCCCGAAGAAGAACAATCACAAAAGCAACAACAACACCAACAGGAACAATTACAACAATTCCAACATAAAATGTTAAACAAACGTAAACATCAAAGGCAACATCAATAGAAAAAACCGAAAAACAACCAGTTTAAATGTTAGCGAAAACAAGGCGCAGAAGAAGACGAAAAAAATCCGAAAACAATAAACTGAAAGATATTCTCTAAGATCAGAAATCGGAAATCAAATACTATGTGATAGTTACAAGAAAAAAAACTAAGTATATAAGCAATACAACACAAATCAAATCAAAGTCCTTAAATCAAATTTACATTTTGTCTCATCACCGAATAGAAGACAATTAAGGATAGTTGCACCATAAAGAAAGAGTAAACCGTAATCAAACCCTTCCTCTTCCCCCCGAGAGCAAATTACTATAGAAAACAGGGAAAATACAGAGTGAGATATTTACAAAAACAAGAATAAAAAAAACGCCCACAATTAAAAAAGGGGGTTTAAACTGGACACAAAGCAAGTGTCGGAAAAATTGTTCTTTAAGCGTTTTCACAGACGCCAAGGAAAACTGGAAGCAACAACACCAAAAATACCAGAAAAAAAAAACAAAACTACTTTACTTTTATAAATATTTATGTACAAAGGAAGAAAAAAGTAAGAGTAGTATAAGAAGAGAAAAAATCGAAAACCAGTATTTTGTTGCATATACACGATATACACACATACACCTATATATTACTAGCTGAACAAATCAAAAGCAGACTGTACATATTTAAAAAAAAAAAAATAAACAAGAAAACGCATTCAAACCAATCCTGTAATATATATTCAAATAAAAAACACAAACGAATATTCTTCAAGTAACTAAAAAACTCGAAACTACAAAACGCAACTAAAGCAACCAGCAAAGCAAACTCCAAAAGCAACCAGAAAATATAAAAAAATCATCAACTATATATACACACATACATATATATTTAAAAGAAAAAAAAACAAAGAAAAACAAACAGAGAGAGAATTATATATACATACCTATATATACAGAGAGGAAGTCGAAGAAGAAGAAGCAAAAGATATATATAATAAAAATTCAGTCAGCCGTGCCTTTTTACAAAATTTTATCGTGCTTTTTGTATATTTTGTAAATCATCAAAAAACATCAACGTCATCGTCTACCAAGAGCGAACAATCGAACGAACAAACATAACCAACCAAAACACCCACATACTTGTTGTTGTCTTCGTTGTCGTCATCGTCATCATACTGCGTTTAAAGCAATACCAACAAACCCCGCAATAAGCCTAACTCCAAAAACCAAAACAAAAAAGCAACGCCAAAACAATCCCCGGAAATTCATTGAACTGCAAAGTGGTTTCTACTTCTCCTCGGTACTTTCTCATCAACTCGTCTACCAATCAACCAACAAACCAACCAACCCCCCCACGCCCACGACTGTGTTTTGTTTGTGTGTGCATTCCGTGATTCGGCCACACCATAAACACACACACAAAAACACATTTTTCGTACGCATATTAGAAGAAAATGGTAATTAATTGAAAAACTTTTCTTTCTACTTCTGTATTTCGTTTTAGTGTCATTATCGTATTTCGTTATTATTTTTTTAGTTTTTCTTTCGCATTCATATTTGTTTTTTTCCATTTTTTAAATATCTAATTACACTTCACTCATTCACTCCATGTGAACTTTGTCTACTACTATTTTCTCAACATTTCTTCTATCAAATTCATAATATTTGTTAATATCTTGTCGTCTTAGTAATATCTCATTAGCAGAGTAACAAACAAAAACAACACATATTTTTTTATTTGGAATGAATTTTAATTACAATAACCAATTTAATTTAAGATTTTATTTTATTTTTGAAAATTGGCAAATTGTAGCAAAATTATTTACTTACCGAAATTAGGTTTAGAGAATGTTTAGGTGGGGAAAAAATGCTAAACACTGTTTTAAATAACTTTAATGATTAACCTTTATTGGGGCGTATGAGTAATTAATTAACGTAACGTGTTTAAAAAGTATACGTCAAGTGGAACTACATGATGTGAAAATGAAATGTTAGTTATAAGGGTACAGTTTAGTTGAACATATTTCCTTGTTATATTAATTTCACAAAAGGAATTTTTCTGTGTTTGACTCACAAAATTTTGATAACATATTATCGCTTTTCGTTAGAAAATTTATTTCAATTCCTATTTTGAACTCATGGAAATGCTAGTTTTCATAAACTTATATGTGTGTATTTATATGAATTCGCGTTTACTGACATATTCATGAGTTTGTTCAAAAGGTAATGTTATGTTAATGGGGTAATATTTGCTCAAAATTATTTGGTTACAAATCAAACACGTGTCACAAAACTGGCACTCTGGGGAACCCCATTCTCTTTAGAAAATGAAGAACATTTGATGGTTTAAAGTATTTATAAAAAATTCTTTAACTCTTAGAACCCTTCTCTGTCATTAATTAATATATGTTTTTAATATAAAACTACATACCCATTTGGAAGATATTTTTGACTCCTTTCTAGTTATCCTTCATAAAAAGCTATCTGACCTTTTCTATAATTGAAATCTTATTTTCTCCAAATGGTTTCTGAAATTATGCCACTCTCACTTATCGCTCCAAAACTACAACGAAACATGGTGATATACAAGAACCACTATGGTGCTAATGTCAGCCTATTTCCTTTGCTTAGGCCCATGGCAACTATTACATTCGCTTTAATTCATGTTTGGCTTCTGATACGAGCTTCGAGGGCACTTGGCATATTAACGTTATTACTGTAATCCAATTAAGGTTTCGAATAAGTTAAAAATCATGTTTACATCTATCTTGAAATGTATCCTCAGCTCTCCCGGATAGCGGTGGACTTAATATTATGTCCCCCTTGTATAAGTTTCAAACATTGCTAGTGGATTCCAATATGTCTAATAAATATTCGTAATTTAATTTAAGGCGTTCTCAGAATGACTAGAGTCGAATGCAAATATAGTATTAACAATAAGACCTTGATATACTAAATTTAAACAACAACAAAAGTTGAAAATTTGGTTGAAATAATTAAGATACCAAATATTGAAAGCTTCATCTAATTTCCTACCAGAGTGGAAGGAATCCAGTACGAACTTCAAAAAGAACATTTCCAACAATTCTATTGAAAATGTGACTGAAATCATATATAGAGCTACACGAAAACGTGCACCTGTATAGGCACTAATCTGTTACTTCAAACAATTATATTAAGACATATGCCAAAAATCCCCCAAATACCGTGGGACATCCTTATATGAGGAATATGCGAAAACCGGAAATGTGGAACCTATAATTATGTAAATACAAAATATTGGGCTATCGTTATATGGAAGTAATAGGAAACCTGGACTTGGATAGAGGAGAATCTGCCACAGAAGATTGGACCAATTGAGAACTCCAAACATATGGACCTTCCTAGGCAATAGGGTAAGACCATTACGAGCTCTAAATACCAAATTTCAAATAAAAAATGGTAAAAAATGAGGCTAAAATCTCGAAAATGCTCCATATTTAACGGAAATACCGTTATACGGGGACTATAATAAAACATAGACAGTTCTTCGATTAGGCGATTGTACATATACAATAGTTCCCATAAATGACATTGAAGTAAAATACAAGCTCTTATAAATCTTTTTCCGTATATACCTTCCTGTCGCATCCCATTGTAGGCCTCGCGATAATATTGCGATATTAATGTCAATCGGTAAAATATATGTCAGTTATTGGCCTCCTCAGGTCACACTTACAGTGTCCTTATCACCCTGATGCATACAGATCTTAGCACCATGTAAAGTACTTTTGTATAACAGACCACCACGAGTGATCCATATGTTAGTATTGGTCTGGTTATCCTTGTGAACACCCACAGTACCACTTTAGGTTTGAGTCTCAACGAATGCCAAGCATTTGACGACGTACGTAATAGAAAACCGATGCTTCATCAACGTTCCATGTTTTAAATCTAAAATCTTGAATTTTTCTCCACCTCTTTCAATTGTTCTTCTGACAGACAAAATTTCTCAAACTTCATCTCACGCCATTTCTGGCATTTAGAATCGAAATTATTATTAGTTTACTTATCTAACGTCTTTTTCGTCCTATTACTATCCATTGGGTATGCAGATTTACTTTAATTGTTTCCAAACATCGCACATATTCCAACTAGCATTGATTTAGTGGGATTCTCCGCAATTTCTTGCATTTTTTATATGAAGTAATACCGACCTTGAGTCGAAGTATTTGTCGATATGGGAAAGATTTCGGTAAAAATTCGTTTAACTGAAAATATCTGTTGAAACTACTAAAGATAGAATGTTGAACACCAATGTTTTAATTTTTATCATCTATAATGGGCATTTCAATCGATATCGAATGAGAGAGTTTTTACCTAAACTGTTGTCTTGATTTTCGTACAAATGATAATCCAGCAATTTCTCGTTTTTTGAAAGAACGTGAGGTGGTTTAACTTCTCCGGAATTGACATCACCAAGCTCACCCTGACGCTGTATAGCTCCAAAAAGGATAGCTTATTTCACCCTTTATTGGGAGTTGAGATTTCACGGCTTGGGGATACCAATCATAAAATGTTGTCGTTTAGCAATTCAGACGTTCATAATAGTCCGCTTGACTATATAGGATTTTAGTGTCACCAAACCCTAACTTTGGTAACCAGACAGTTACACAAGGTTTCACTATGATATAGTTAGCTGTACGACTTGCTATAAGATATAATTTTTTGCTTAAAGAAGTTATTAAATAAATAGATCTTTCGTTTGAGTTAAATAGTGAAATGCAGATTACATTTCGAAAAAATCCAGAATTTAAAATTATACTCATTAGGAAAAAGAGTCGAAATAACCAGAAATATTTTTTGAATAACCTTAATATCGGATTTAATATTTATAAAAATTAATCAAATATCAGTGTTTAGCATTTTCGTCCCAAAACGAAATCATAACATATTCTCTATGTCAAACGTCTTTCCACAATGAGATCCTCTCAATTCCCCCCTCATCCATATAGAGATACAAGTTATTACATTATTTTTTTTTTCTTTCGTTCATATTCCATTTCTTTTCATATTATAGTCGATATTTTTACTTCACAGCCAACAGCAATGAATAGTGTATTTTTTTCGAAACTAGATTTCTTTGTCTTTTTTTTTCAAAATAACAAACAACAACAGCACCTACTGTGGGGATGCAAATAATGAGATCTTCTTTTGAAAACGAAAGAAATATTCGTGACAAAAAAAATGCAACACGAAAGCAACGAAACGAAAATCGATATTTTATTAAAACACAAAAACCAAACTATATATGACCGAAAATACGCCACAATGAAAAACGTTCGCTTCGCCTTTTACAAGAAATAAACAAAAAATAATAATAAAATATTTTAACTATATAACGTATTAAACACTAATATGCAATATAATATCTATAAATATTTCTTTTCATATATTTTTAAAAGTAGACAAAACAAAGAAAACAATCGAAACACCCAGAAAATTTCATTTGCTCGGATGCTGCATTCAAAACTAAATATTGTATAGAGAATAAATAAAAGAAAAGCAATAAACAAAATATGCTGTCTTAAACAAAGAAAAGATTGAAAATGAATATCCATTGAAATCCATTTTTACAAATATACAATAAGTTTTACACAATTCTTATGTCAAAAAATATAGTAAGGGTTTGGTAATCTCTTTTCTGTGTTTGCCAGGGGCTTTACAAATAAACCCAGAGATTTCCTGTTTCTTTTGGGATATTTCTACAAATGTTTGTTTTATGCAATTGTTTCATCATTTTGTTTCATCTACAACAACATACAATACCTAAAAGGATTCTACAAATGGGCAAGAGAACACCCACAGCACCAATTTCTTACTTCATTCCTTTTTTCCCCCTCTAAAAAAAACTAAAGCAAAGCAACTGGAAAAGAAACAAGCAAAACGAAAAAAAAAAAAACAATCAATAACGATGACTATTTTTTGTTATTTTTTTTTAAATTGAATTGAATTAAATTTATTTGATATAACAAATTCGTAAATATATACATAATAAATAGAAATAATCAACATAAGATAATAGCTCTATTGCCGCGTATATGTATGTCTGTTTTTAATTTTTGATATTTCCCAAAAAAAGAAAGAAAGAAAAAAAATATATATAAATTGAACATTTGAATGACAACGAATCCAGCTCAAAAGCCAGGTTCGGTAACCAAAAATGATAATAAAACCGGAAAAACAAGCAAAAAACTTACAACTAACCAACCAATCAAACGCCCGCCAGCCAGCAAGCCTGACAGCCAGCTAGCTAGCCAGCCAGCCAGCTAGCTAGCCAGCCAGCCAGCCAATTATACACAAAAGCAAATGTTTTTGCAAATTGTATTTTTGCACAAATTATTGTACTGATATTAAGCATAATCTAATAACCATGTATGTATGCTGTGACAACTACAGGATACTAGATGTAGTACTA